CAGAGCTCAGCCACCAGGGGGCACTGGCTCTCCTGCTGTTAATGGACACAAGTTGGATTGCTGGACTTGTGAGAACTAGCTGTTCCCTCCCAGGGGTGCAAGATTTCCCAAAGAAACCAGAGCCTAACTCCAGCTGGATCTTGGGCTTTCCGTCAGCCCCTTTTAAGTCACACTTGGTCCTAGGCCACAGATTTCCACCAACATATGGGTACAGAAGTACTTTTGCATGTTAGTTTACATGCTTCCCTTCCCTGTAGGATGCAGAAGGCTAGGGGGAGCTGCCTGCCATACCAACTCTCAGGGCTTCCTGGGGGAATGAGTAGGAGGGTAGAGGAGTCTAGTAGTTAAGAGCCAAGACTCTGTAGTTACACTGTTTGGGTTCTCCCCACAGCTTCCTCAGTTACTGGCTGTGTGACCTTTAACATGTTAACAGACCATCACCTCACCTCTCTGAGCCCCAGTTTCCTATCTGTAAACATGAGGGTCCCATCCCTTACCCTGGTGAGCTTTCGTGAGGCTTGACAGGATAAAGCATGTGCCATTCCTAGCACAGTGCCTGGCACATCATGTGAGAACTCAGAAGTTCCTCCCACTGGGCCCAGACTTCCCAGCCAAAACAAAGCACTCCCAGCCAGGGCCTAATCCACTCAGAGGTGGCAAATCCCTGAGGAGCGGGAAAAGAAGTCCCTCATCAGCCTTGCCTCCGGTAGCCCCGTACCTGCAGCCCAGGTTCTGTGAGAGCCTACCACTGCTTGGCAGAAGGTCCCCAAACGCCCCTCCCTCTAAGACACCTTTCAGTGGTCCTCAGCTCTTCCTGGCCAGGAGTTCTTCGTAACCTCTGACTCATTTCCCTTCAGCCAGGACAGAAACCCTTTTTCCCTCACCCACCCACAGATTTAATCCTTCACCAAGCCCTGTTGATTGCAACTCCAGAAAGCATAGGGCTCTGGAATCAGATCAGAATCCTGGCTCCACCACTTAACATTGGTACAACCAATGAGCAAGTGCTGTATTCTTTCAAATCTTGGCTCAGACATATATTGATTGTGTGACACTGAGCAGATTCCTTAACTTCTCTGAACCTCAGTTTCCTCATCTATAAAATGAGGATAATAATAGTACTTATATTTTAGGGTTGTTATAAGGATTAAACAAGTTAATATGTGTAAAGTGCCTGGGACTTAGAAGGTGCCACGGATTGTAAATTGTATGATTTGGGGCAAGATTTTTAACCACTCTAAGCTTCAGTTTCCCTAACTGTACCTATCCCTCAGGTTGTATTAAAGGAGTTAATCCACATATGGTTCCTAGCTGAGCAAAGGTCCATAGTAAGAATTTGATAATTATCCGCTGTTATAGCTATTATCCTCTTAGCCACCCAGTTGCCTATTCTCTGGACAGGGAAAGCCCCCTCTCCCACCCTACTGGGTGTTATCATTTCCCATGCATCATCCCTTCCCCTCAACTACACCTTTGCCTGTGCAGTTATCAAATGGGCAGACGTTTTGTCTTCTTCCCTCTCTAGTCCTTTGCTGTAAAATGGTGGCCTGAGTTCACTGTTTTGACCTATCAGTGGCCTCATGTTGGTTACTGTGTTTCTGATTTACCCCCAGCTGGCAGGGCTTGTAGCAACCTCAATGCAAGCATACAAATCCAGGTGCAAAAACCCAGCAAAGAGTTCGCGCTCAGTAAGTGGTAGTGACAGCACTCACTCTTTGCCAGGCACTTGTTATTTATCTTACATGCTTTATCTTATATGGCACTGTAATCACAACAATCCTATCCTCATTGTCCCCACTTATGGATGAGAAAACTGAGAGTTAGCAAGGCTTTAGCACCTAGATTTGAGTGTGTGCACTGAGGTTGCTACAAGCCCTGCCAGCTAGGAGTAAACAAAAAACATGAGGCCATTGAGAGGTGAAAACAGTGAACTCAGGCCCCTAATGACATTGTTTGGGGAGAAGGGTTGGCAACCATTTTACAAGAGGGGACTGGGGAAGAAAGGAGACAAAATGCCCACTAGATAACTGCATGGTTAGGGTGTGAGTGAGGGCGGTGGTAATACCCACTGGGGTGAGGGAGGAGGCTTTCTCTGCCCAATGGCAGAGAATATGCAATTATTTAATGAACATGGGTGGGGGGGCTGTGTGTGTGTGTGTGTGTGTGTGCGCGTGTGTGTGTATGAGATACAATAAGGAGCTGCAGAGAAGGCAGTGAGAGGGCTGAGGGAGCAGAGAGCCAGCTTTAACACAGGAGGGGAGTGGGCCTGTGGATAGAGCCAGTATGTGGCAGATATGGGATTTGAACCCAGGTACATCTGCCTCCAAAGCCCGTGTTATTAATCATTACAATATTAATGCCTGGCACATAATAGGATTCATACTGCTGCCTTTTTCTGGACAGTTTTCTCCATCTATCTCTACCTGTCTTAGAAGAAGTACAGCCACAATGTTCCTTAGAAGTGAGGATGGCAAGACTTCGTCTCATGTACTTTGGACATGTTATCAGGAGGGGCCAGTCCCTGGAGAAGGACATTATGCTTGGTAAAGTACATGGTCAGTGGAAAAGAGGAAGACCCTCAATGAGATGGATTGATACAGTGGCTGCAACAATGGGCTCAAGCATAACAATGATTGTGAGGATGGCGCAGGACCGGGTAGTGTTTCGTTCTGTTGTACAGAGGGTCACTATGAATAGGAATCAACTTGAAGGCACCTAACAACATCTCTACCTGTGCCCCTCCTTCACGGCCCAGCTCAAATGCAGCCTGACCCTCAACAGATGTGCTCGCCCTCTGTTGCTATGGGGTGGGGAATATGGAGGACATCAGTGCTGGGGTTGGGAAGTTTTGGACCCTAGGATGAGGCAGCTGGGGTGCAGCTAGAGGAAGGACTCTGAGTTTTGCAGAGATTTGCTCCTGAGTTTGTACTGGAGTTGAAGTTGCTACAAGGGCTGGATAAACCCATAACGAAATGACTCATAGTGGGCTCTGATTAGTCAGAACAGTGAATTCCAATCACTTAGGAACTGTGTTTAAGGAGGAGGACTGGAAGCCATTTCAGGGCAGGAGACTGGGAGGAAAGAGAGACAAAATGTCTGCCCACTAAACAACTGTACGTGTGAGGTAAGGGGGTGGGTGAGAGTCTGGGAAGTGAGAAGAGTTCATTCTGAGTTGAGTTTTAGGGTCTTTAAACCTCTGGGGATTTAGGGTTTGTAATTCTGTAATTCTGCCCTAAAAACAAAGATATTCGGATTCCAAGGATTTTAAACCCCCTGTAACCTATGGTACAAGGACTCAAGCAATTTTTGAGCTATGAAATGCTGAGAGCTTAGGACCCCAAGCCAAGGACTTTAAATAGGACAGTGGACATGTTAAAATACTAAGCTCCCTTTGACTTCAAATACATCTTCATTTAATCCTTGAGATAGTGGTTTCCAAATTATCTTTCCCTCAACCTAGAGATCTTTGAAGGTGCCTCACAGAAGGGGATGGAGAGAGTTAGTTTACAAGAGAGAGGACACCAGGGTAGGAATTCTGGGGTCCCCATTATGGCTTCCACCAGGGAAACTCCATTTTTATTTTATTTATATACTGAGTTTCTGCATTCAATTTAATTCAAAAGAAGAGTTTTCCTGCTAAAGTACCAAAAAATAAAAATAAATAAGTTTTAACACTTCTGTCCTAGGGAAAAGACACATGAAACCTATAAATGTAGAGTGGTCCAGGAAGCCACACTCGGCCTCTTTTTCATTTGTTTTGTTTTGTTTCGTTTCGTTTCGAATGGGGACAAACACTGGTAAAGATGCTTTGACTGGTAAACCGTTAAATGATGCCAGAGAAATCAGGTGGAGTTAGCTGAGTAAATCAGTCATTTAGCTGACTGTAGCCTATAAGCTTGTTTATGCTATAAAATCAATAACTGCAGCTACTATTACTACTACTACGACTATGACTACTATCATTTATTGAGTGATTTTACTATGTGCCAGGGGCTGTGCCAAATTCTTTACATATATTTTTTCATTGACTCCTCACAATCCTGAAAGAAGATATCATTATTATCCACATTTTACAAACAAGTAGACTGGGGCTCAGATAGGATAAGTAACTTGCCTAAGGTCATACAGCTAGCAAATGATAGATCCCATTTTACTTACAAGCAGAAACACAGATTGAAATAAAGGAATGAAAATAGTCACAGGTCAACTGCCTGGGAGAGTTAGTTAAGGAACAATCTTAAATTTTGACCAATAGATGGCACCAGTGGGTAAGTTTGGTGGCCCCCTCAAGGCTTTGTCCAATTCACGGAAGTCCCAACTAGGGCTCAGAACTGAAGCAGCCTGTCTTAAGCTGAGGGAAGAGGGAAAGAAAGATAGCCATCATTTTGCTCCTGAATAACATGACGTTGCCCTGCCCTGTTTGTAGTTAAGCAAAGATACAGGAAAGCCAGCAAGTGGGGGGATAGACATGGTTCTGCCAAGAACTGATTTAAGAAGACTTGGGGATTTTTTTCTTTCAGTATTTACTGAGCACCTCCTCTGTGCTAGGCAGTGTGCTGTGCAATGAAGACACACAGGTATATCAAACACAGCCTCCATCTTCCTGCTTAAGAAAGGAGGTAGATGGGAGATAGGGGAAGCGCTGATGTATGAGGGCACCTAACCTGCACCTAAGGAGCCCTGGTGGCGCAATGGTTACTCGCTCGGCTGCTAACTTAAAGGTTAGATATTTGAACGCACCAGCAGCTCCTCTGGAGAAAAGACCTAACAATCTGCTGTTGTAAAGATTACAGCCTGGAAAATTCTGTGGAGTAGTTCTACTCTATCACATGAGGTCACCGAGTCTGAATCGACTTTACGGCACCTAACAATAACAACAAACCTGCACTTGGGGTCTAGGGCGGCTTCCCATTGGAGAGGTATCTGAACTAGTCTAATTGGATAAAAGAGAGTTTACCTGGCATGCAAAAGACATGCCTGTGTAAGGCAGCATGACACGTTCAAGGACAGGCAGCATAGATTTCAAGTGTTGAGAGATGAGTCTGAAGAGACAGACAAGAAGCAGACAACTGGAACGCCTATAATATCAATTTAAGGACTTGATTTTATGGCTCTCTGGCAGCATATGTGTGTGTATACATATGTATTTTTCTGAGTGGAGTCTTAGATTCTCAAGATGATCTCTGACCAAAAAAAAAAAAAAAAAAAAGTTAAGTACAACCATTGGTGAGGTAATGGAAAACTATGGTTGGGCACTAAGCAGGGACAGCACATTGTCAGATCTGGTGGCCAGTGTGGAGGATGAGTTACAAAGGGACATGCTGGAGGCAAGATTAGTTGAAGTATAATTGGGGCAGGGTCAGGTATGAGGGCCTGAGCTGGAGTAGGTGCAATGGGCATTGAGGAGGTAAAATTGATAGGACTTAGTAGTCCCCCAGCCTCCCTCCCCACATACACACACTCATCTCCAAGGCTCAATTGAGGCTGCACCTCTCACCATCCCCTTAGGTCCCCTATCCCAACTGTGAGCTTTCAAACTGCCCTTTGGGGACCTTTTTGTTCCCTTTCCATGCTGTCCTTGAAGTTTCATCAAGCCTGATTTCACAACTTGACAGAGAGGGCCTGGGCCCCATGCTGGCCCCACAGCCCTACATCTTCATGGAGAAAACTGTCAACTGACCTCAGGTAGAACAATGAATTGGCCTTGAGCTGGTCTCTGACCCTCTGCTCATGGCTTCACAACATGGGCAGAGTTCAGTTAAGAAATCAGTACAGTTCCAGGAAAAAGGCAAACATCATCTAGTTTATTTTTATCTTGATTTATCTCATGCTAACACACAGGCCCCAGTGGATAGCCGGAAAAATGGGGGGGGGGGGTCCCCAGAGGAGGCTGATTCACTAGAGGTCCCCTTCCCCTCCTGTAAGACTCATCAGAAAGGCACCACGACTTCGCATGATCTGGTGTTGGTGCCTCCGGGGGCAAAGCTAGACATCTGGCTTTCCATGGGGAGACAGGATTATGTGCTGCCTGGAAAGCCTGGGAGTCAAAGGGCCCTAAAGAGTGACTGCTTCCCTCCCTGAGAGATCACCCTATCCTGATCTGCTTCCTGGGGGCTTTGGAAAACAGGTCTTCCTTCCCCTTCTTAGGACCCTCCCACTGTCAATACAACAGTAGCCCAGGCAATGAGACATGCAGAGGCCTGGACTCAGTACAGTTGGGTAAAGCCAGGGTGAGTTGCCAGCTGAAAGACCCAACTTTCAGTCCAAGGAGCTGTGCCTGGAGACTCCCAGCTAATCAATGCTCATGGAGCCTTGCCAGGGGTACTGAACCCCAGTCAGACTCTGACCAGTTCAGTTTAGACAGGTCAGAAGTGAGGAAGGGGGATGAGCTGTTGCCCTGCATGGTTCTGACCCTAGTACCCTCACACACTCTTCTGGACCCTTTACGTCTGCCTCCTTTTTCTCCTCTTCTTTGTCCTCTTCCTCTTCTTCCTCCTCCTCGTCTTCACTGTCTGAGTCCTCATACAGGTTGATGGTTGCCTGGACAGGGAAGTTCTGCAGTAAAATCTCCCCATCAGTGTACAAGTAGTCAAAGGAGCGGGATTTAGGCCAGAAGAGCCTGTGGACAGAGAAGAAAAATGGCCCCTAACTTAGGTCTCATCTGTGCAAAGAAGCCAGTAGGGCCAAGAAGGATGCCAGCCCCTGAACCCCTTCTCTTAGCTGCAGGAATGGGGTCAGAGGAAAAGGAAGACAGAGAGAGCTTTGTAACAGCCTTCTAAATTGTTACAAAATGGCCCTAGGCAGGAAAGTAGCCCCTGGTGAGCCTGTAGCTGTGGGAGGCCTCAGCTCCAGCATCCATCAGTTCTGGCACCAACCCTCCCACCAGGAGGCCTCTAGCCAAGAATTCTCTAGTGTTGTGTCCCCATCTCCTTTTTCTACTAAGGCTTCCCTCACTGACCTGTCCATAAGGTCTCATTCTTAGAGGTCATTGACAATGCCTCCAGGGAAGGCAAACTTGGCCAAGTCCCTTAACCCTTCTGGGCTTCAGTTTCCTTGGCTATAAAGCAATGGATCATAGCAGTGCTTCCCTCCTCTTGCTTCACAGGACTATTTTGAGGATTAAAAGAACTAATGGATCTATGTCAAGTTTTGAGCTTGGTGACAGAAGCTTACCTGACAGGGTGATGGAATTTGGAGTCAGCCTTGGTGACCTCGGCAGTTGTTGCCCCACCAGTGGCCTGCCCAAAGCAAAAGATAGCATGATGGCTCAAAGTACATGGTCAGATAATTACCTCTACCATGCCAGAGATCAGAAACCTGCAGGGAAAATGATCTAAAAGAGACTTTAGAAGACTTTAAAAGAGCCCCTCCCCACCCCAACAAGGGGGTCTCTCTTAGTTCTGGTTGAAAAATAAGTAGAGTCCCGGAGGTTGTTTGTTTTCTTCCCCCTGTCCCAACATCTTTTTGGAGGCTGTCCAAGGCCCAGAGTTCTACTGGAGCAGCAAGATTCAGGAGAAAGCATACGGGGGCTAGGCACCAGGAGACTAGGGTTCTAGCACCAGATTCACCACAGACTGGCTATGGGACCTGTCCAAATCCCTTTCTTACTGAGTCTAAGCCTCTTCATCTTTCAAATTGCCTCAGAAACCTTGAGTATGCCCTCCTCCAAGAACTGTTGTGGAAATCAAATATGGTCAAGGCTGTGAAGATGTTTTCCCACATCTGCAGCTCTGGATCAAGGTCAGGACCTCTCTGGGAAGGGACCCGGTTAGTGAGAATGCATGCAGCAGTGTGTGTACCTGAACACATGCAATGGGGACTCAAACTTACCAACTCCATCAGTTTCCTCACCTGCCTTGGGGGGTCATTTGTGGAGGACAGCCAAGGCCTCCAAAGACAAGTTCCTCTAGGACAAAGAGGAAAGACCAATCAGTGAAAGACAAGACTGGAACTTGGGCTTCCAGAGATAACAAAAGAGGCCTCCAGGAAGCTTGGCTCAGGTGCCATGTACTCCAAGAAGCCTTTTCTCGTGCCCTCGAGCCCAGATGGAATGACTGCCCCTCCTCTTTGCTTCAACAATTGTATCATTGTTCTGTTCTTATCACACTGCTTTGTAATTGTCTGTTTACTTGTCTTTAAGCTTCTGAATTCCCAACACCTAGCACATTGCCTGGTACACTGTAGTTGTTCAGTAAATGTATAATGAATCAATGGGGGTTGGGTAGATAAATATCTTGTCCCCTACCTCCTCCTCCATGGAGCAGAGCTCAGAGCCCTACCATTTTCCTGGGCCAGAATATTCCTTATCCCACTGATTCCCCACTAGACTTCCTGAGGTCAAGCAATGCAAATGGGAATCTTCTGGTGTGGTCAGGAAAGAGACAGAGGCCCAGTCAAATTTTCTTTGGACTTTGGCCCTCTTCTCCCCCCAACTCCTACCCCGACCTTTTGTTAGCAGCCATAGCACTTAACCACTGTGCCACCAGGGCTCCCCTCTGAAGTCTAGGTAGCATTCATCTCAGGTTTCACAGCTATCTCCCCTGTGCCCCTCAGAGGATAAACAACCTGGCCCAAGAGAGCCTGGCTTCTTGACCTTCAGCTTTGGCAGTGCTCCCCAAGTCCCCTCCTGCCACCCAGAGAGATTTGTGAGGTGAAAGCCAGGTGAGATATTCCAGCCAGACATGTGGAGGGGGGTACTCTCTGTGGGCTATGAGGCCTTGGCTTTTCCCCTTCATAGTGAACAGGGACACCCTGGACACCTCATTTTCCCTCCTCTCTAAGAAACTCCACTAAGTCTGAGTTCAGGTTACCAAAGGCCAAGTTCCACTTACCTTTCACTCCCTTGTACTTCTTGTCCAGAGAGCAGAAGGGGCGATAGGCTTAACGGGCCAGGGAATGCCAGGGATGCCTGTGCTGGGGCCTGAGTTAGGACTAGGGCTGGGGCAGGGGCAACAGCAGTAGGAGTAGCAGGGTCCATCCTTAGGGTGCTAAAGCCAGGCAGGCTGTGGGGTCTCCTATTTCTCAGAGCCTTCTACAATCTTTTGGCCTTTCCTGGGAGACCCTTTTATAAGCCTTGACTGGACTCATAAATTATTCAGGGGAGGAGGGGGCTGGGAGAAGGATGAAGATTTAGGGAAGGAGCTCAGGGAGGGGTAGCTGGGTTCCTGGTGTGAAATCCCCCCAGTTGAATAAACAGGGTGTCAGTGGGGGGTGAGGGGCTTTCTTTATCTCCAAGTCAGAAAGAAAAACACAGAAGGGATAAATCAGACACCATTTGTGCGAATTCCCCAGGCAGTAGCAAGGCCAGAGTGGGGAGAGGAAGGGAGCTCATTAGCACCCAAAACCACAGATAGTTGTCAGGGACAGAAGACAGGATAGATAGGCCTCAGAAGGGACAGCTGCCCTGTCGTCTGAGGAGAGTGAGGGACTCACATGTTATTTCAGCTCAAGCCCCAAATAGACTTGCCAGGTGGACTTGATGCTGGGTGACTACCATTAAGCACATCACCTGGGCTAGGAGAAAAGAAGGTTCTGGGGTAGAGCGTGCCAGTTGCCTGTGAGGTAAACCTCAAGTCTTCTTTCCAACCCCCGACCTCCCTTACTGGTCAGTTCATTTGCAAAAGTGCCTGAAACCCCTCTCTAGCCTCAGCAGTTGAGTGGTCCAGTGAAGGAGGGCAGGAAGGGTTTTGCAGGGCCTCCAAGTCAGACTTCAAATCTAAGGGCTTGGCTTCAAATCCAGGAACCAGGGTGCTTGGGAGAGGAGGAGTTCTGCTCAACTGCTAAGCTGCTGGGGGCTGTCCCTGGCCCCTGGGTCTCAGTTCCCTCATGTGTGAGATGAAGGTGTTGCCCAGTGGTCCCAAAGGACCCTGTCAGCCTGAACACTCTGTGACTGGGGCTGAGTAAATGGGTACGGACCCCAGGCAAGCCCAGAGGCTTGAGCACGGTCTTCAGCCTTAGCCAGCCTACTGGGCCTTTGCCAAAAAAGCTTCTAGTTACAACTACTGGCAGGCTCCTTGTGCTTTAGAGGTCTTGAAAATTTTCCTCCTGACCTCAGCGTCCAGCACCAGCACAGATTTAGCTTCTTGGATATTCGTCACAGCCTGGTTTGTAATCATCAAAAATTAGAAACAACCTCAATGTCCAATAATAGGAGACCAGTTACATTAATTCGAGTACATCCTTACAACCAAATACTAAGTAAGCACTCACAATCATGTACTAAAACCAAAAACCAAACCCACTGACGCTGAGTCGATTCCAACTCATAGCGACCCTAGAGGACAGAGTAGAACGGCCCTGTAGGGTTTCCAAGGCTGTGGTCTTTATGGAAACAGACTGCCACATCTTTCTCCCTCAGAGCAGCTGGTAGGTTTGAACCAGCCGACCTTTCGGTCAGCAGCTGAGCACTTAACCACTGTGCCACCAGGGCTCCTTAATTATGTTCTAGGAAGTATAATTATCAACACAGAAACAGGAAAAAAAATCAGATAGTCAAATAGTATGAATAATTTGATTTAAGGGCTTCTCTTTTCTCTCTTTGCCTGTCTTCCACTTCCACCACACTTCAAAATCCAGCCCCACTGTGTTTTTTTGTAGCAAAGAAAAAACAAAACAGCCTAAATGTCTCACTTTAAAAGGATGATTAAATAAATCATTGAACAGTTATAAATTTTCAGTTAAAATTGGCATGGTCGAAGAATGGGGAAAAATTAATATATTGAAGAGTTAAAAAAAAGTCTCTAAAATACTACTTTATTACTTGGATTTTGGTAAGAAAAGAAGTGTAGACTATAGAGTACACAGATGAAGAAATGCTGTTTAGAAGCAAAGAGAATGTTACAATGGTTGGTTCTGGGAGCAGGAGTATGGTAGATTTTTTATTTCTTTGTGCTTTTCTAAATTTTCTAGAAATTTCCACAATGAACTGACATTATTTGGGTAATAAAAAGTAAAGACACACATAAACACAAGCAAAGATACATAAAAACAAAAAGTAAGAAAGAAAGACATGCTTAATCATGGAGAACAAAAGACTCCGGGCAACTGACAGTCATTTTCAAAGATTTGAGAATTAGACTCAATGAGATTTCACTTGTTCTGTGTGACTTCAAAGGGCAGGACTGGGGTCTATGGGTGGAAGCTACAGGGAGACACATTTTGGCTCAGTTAAAGAAAAACATTCTAACAGCCAGCCTCCACCTAACCCAACGGCCTGGCTCTGTACTGGCCCTCGATAAACAGAGGTTTATTACAGGCAGTGAAAACGAATCCAGTGAAATGTGGTGCCTTGGACCTGGGTGAGTTCTCTGTCCCTGAATTGTGTAAGGCAGGTGGATCCTGGATCCTGAATAGGGAAATCCTAGGGGTGGGGAGAGAGGGCTACTGGGGAGTCTGAACTTCTATCAGTCTCTGAGGCTACATTTACCTCTGGGAGATGAGAGTTTGTTTATACTGCAACATTCACTAAAATGAGGAATGAGGCGGAGAAAAAAGAGCCAGGCTGAAGAGACTGGGCTGGAAGGAGAAAGGATTCGAAAGAAGAGATACTTTAGGGTTGACAGCAGACCTATTGTCACACCCTAGGATCTTTGTGACCCCTAGGTGGTCATGGTCTGTGAAAATAGGCAGGAGGGAGGAGGGAAACAAGGCAGAGGGAGACACTCCTCCTGACCCCAGGGCTCATGCCCAATTAGACTCGGCCATGCCAGCCATCATGCCACCTCTCACTTTGGACTTGTATTCATTTAGCCACAACCCTTCATGTTTGGGATTGTCCAGTCCTTTCACTGCCCTGAGCAGCAGGCCTCAGGGTTCTCCTTACACCCAGCTCCCAGCAGGTTCTTCTGGAGCCCAGGGAGCCTTTAGTCCTCTCTCTATGGCTCTTTGTTGTGGCTACAAACCTGATCTTTCTTGCTGCCTCCTTAGAATTGCCTCAGCCTCATTCAGCTTGTGGCAAATGAAGCCATTAGCCTTTCTTGTGGGCCACCCCACCCTCAGCCTGCAGGATTTAAGACCTGCAAGTGTTGCTAGCCAAAAGTGGGAGCCTGGCTGTTTTCCTCTGCACTTAGCACCGAACAGGAAGATGGTGGCCAGCAGGGTAACAGGAAAGGTCTGGGTCAATCAAAACAAAGAACTTCCTATCAGGGTAATTATGATTCTACCTCTGTTTCCCCTAACAGCCCTGTAGTGCTTCTGCATTTTGTCAGTCATTGCTTTGCCAGACGCTTGGATGCCTCTTCTGGGTCACTTTGCTTGGCATTGCCTAGGAATGGGATGGGCTGGAAAGAGGAAGGTGCTGTGGATACTGCCTCAAGGTCCTGACAGCCTAATAAAGGGTGACAAGACTTGCACAGGGGAAGACAGATTCAGTCAACCTAAGCTGGGTCTTGGTGCCCCTCAGTCATCCTTGAGCATGTTCCTTTGTCAAGTGCCCAGCTCCAGCCTCCACAATTCCCTGGGCCACATTCCAAATTTCCTTCAGCTCCCTACCATGTCCCTGCCCCGCCCCTCTCCCTGCACGGAACAACCTCTCCTTCTACTTCCCTGAGAAAACAGAGGCCTTCAAGCATGAATTACCTCAATGCACTGCCCCACCCCCCAAAATTGGCCTGCCTCCCCAACTTCCTTCCCCTCCAGCCCTCCCTTCTCAGGGGACAAGGTGCTCCTCTCATTAAAAGCTAATCGCTCTGCCTGGGCCTTGGCCTCATCCACCCTCCTTCTCTGAGCCCTTCCTCTAGACGTTATGCTTCTTCTCTTCAGAAAAGTTCAGCTTCTCTATAACAGTTCTTTCCTTTCAGCTTATAAAATGTCTGCTTCTGTTATCCAAAAAAACAGAAAAAAAGCCCATTCCCTCCCCAGATATGTTCTTTTATGCCCTTAACTTTCTTGCTGTCTCTCAATCTTTTTGTCTCTCTCTCCCTACCTCCTTCCCTCTCTCTTTCTTTCCTTTACCTTCAAATTTGTTGAAAGTAGAGTCTACTCTCTAGACTTTTCCCAATTTCCCATTCACACCTCAACCAACTGCAATCTGGCCCCAGCCCCATCATTCCAGTGAAAGGGCACTGCCCGTAGGTCACCAGTGACTTCCAAATTGCCAAATTCCACGATCTCTTTGAACTCTGGGTGACAAAAGACACTGCTGGCCAAGTTCTCATTTCTGAAACTCTCTTCTCTTGGCCTCCATGATCACTCTCTCCTGGTTGTCCTCCTACCTCTGGAACCACTCCTCTTGGTCTCTTTTGCTAACCTCTTTCTCTGCCCATTCCTCAAATCAGTGGTTCTCAAATTACAATCCACAAATCAGGCTGATTTTCAGTGGTTCACTGCAAAACAAAAAAAGCATTAATAGTAGAGTTTTTCAATAATCTAAATGTATTCAATTATAAAGGGCTGTCCTTCAGATTATGCCCTTCCTATCTTTTTGGTGGTAAAATGTTCTCTCTTGTTTTCAGTGGTGGTGACGATAGATGTTATTTTGTTCCTTTGAAGTTTTACTTGATAAAATAAAATGTTATCTCCTCTATATCAGTCCCACAAATGCTTATTGAATGCATGAAATAATGAGAGCTATATTTCCGGCCTAAAATTTTTCTGATAGGTATCTCAAACTCATCCTCAAAGTGAATTGTTGTTCTCCCTCACAAATTTCCCCTGTGCCTACCTCAATAACAACATCATGTTGACCTAGTCACTCAAGCTGGAAACCTCAGCCACCAAATCCTATTGATTTTAGTCTTCACCATTTCTCACATTTGTCTCCTCTATCCTCCCCACTGTCCCAGCTATTTCTTCATATAAGTGATGTCATACAGTATTTGTCCTTTCGTGATTAACTGATTTTACTCAGCATAGTGTCTTCGAGGTCCATCCGTGTTGTAGCATGCATCAAGACTTCATTTCTCTTTATGGCTGAGTAGTACTCTATTGTATTTATGTACCATATTTTGCTTATCCATTCTTCTGTTAATGGGCACTTAG